CGAGTGATAGAATTAAAGGCATGTGCCACGACCACCCTGCCCCGAATTTATAAATAATTCTTAACAGTTCAGATAGAGTGGTGGTGAGAGAGATGTCAGCATCAAAGTGTCATTTTGTTGCTTTGTCCTTGGGTGGTTAGGTGGGAGGGCTCCTCCCCCAAGGCTTGTGAGTATCTGCATGTATGCATGTGCATTGGCTCCCTGGAACAGGAGTTGCAGTTGCTTGGAACTGAACCCAGGTCTTCTGCCAGAGCAGCAAGTGCTGTTAACTTCTGAGCCATCTCTAGTCCCTATTCCCAAGTACTTTTTACAATGGTGCTAATTGTATCCAGTCTCTAAGGGCTCAGTCCTCATGAAGTCTCCCACAGGTCTGGAGGTAAGAGGAAAATGTTTAGGTCAGTTCTCTCCTGTATTGATCCTGGCCCTCTAATTCAGGTTGTCAGGCCTTACCTGCTGAAGAATTTCTCAGTTGGCCATTAAATTTTAACACATGAGTCTGGGGGACGTTCTCTATGACACCACTAATATGACATTAAAATTTTCCCCCAAGTTGGTGTTTATTTTTGAGACAGGGCCAAACTATGCAGCTCCAGGAAGCCTAGGAAGCCTATGTAGACCAGGCTGGCCTCCAACTCAGATCTACCTGCCTCTGCCTCTCAAGTGCTGGGATTAAAGATGTGTATCACCACAGCCAGAAACTTTCTCCAAAGTTTTATTCAAAATAGAATTTATTGGTATATTCTTTACCTCTGAATAAATACTTTTGAGTAATGGTTTGGTCTCCCTACACCTTAAGATGTTAGTTTTAGTAGTGATTTGAGTATTATATGATCCTAGGAGTTTGTTAGGGTCCTGCCCTCACTCCTACACATGCACAGCTCGGGGGCTTGTGTCTTGTGTCAACAACAGATGCTGGTGACTACGTACCCCTTAAAAAGCTGGACTCGGACCCCCACCCTCTCTGTTTCCTCTCTGCTCTTTCTCTGTATCCTGCTCTGCTCCCTCCCCCAGGCCTGGCTCGCCTCTGTTTCTTGCCCCCACGTTCCCTCCGAATAAAGCCCTAAAACTAGCACTGGGTTCTGTCATGACCGTGACCTTTCCATGCAGTAACCAGCGCAGTTTACCAATCAGTATTTTTATGGATTTTAAAAACTGAAACGATTTGCTATACTGGGCTCTTGTATGTGACACATAGTTGAGAACTACATTTTAAGGCTAATCTGATTGGTTGTACCTTTTAATTATATGAACCAAAGACCATTTAATGTCATTATTGACCTAAATTTATTTGGTTTTGTACTTATTTTCTTTTTTTTCCCTCTGCTCCTTTTTCCCTGTCAAGTCAAATTAATTATAATATGTTTATTATGATCAGCATATCTTAGGTGTATCTCTTTGAATTAATTTTCAGTTGTGTTAGGAAAGCTAGGCCTAGTGGCATGCGCCTTTAATCCCAGCCCTTGGGAGGCGGAGGCAGGATGATCTCTGTGAGTTCAAGGCCAGCCTGGTCTACAGAGTGAGTTCCAGGACAGCCAGAGCTACACAGAGAAACCGTGTCTTGGAAAACACAAAACAAAAAGGAATTACAGTAGCATCCCTAACTTACCACCCACAAAAGGTTAGCATTGTGCTACCCTAGTGTGTGGCTCGTGAAGGACTTGAGGCTGTGCGGTCACGTGGCTGCTTTCACTTATTTTGCTATTGCTAACACACACACCCCCGCCCACCCACCCACACCATACATCATATTTCATCTAGCAGGGAACAGCCTGCGAGGGGAGCATTGCTCCACCTTCCACCCTCCCGTTCTCAATCCGCCCTCCCTCAGCTCGATCGCTCTGGCCTCCACTTGCTGAGCCTGTGCAGACTCGGGGATCGGCTGGGAAAGCCTGCAGCGCGGGCTGCCGCCGCTGTGCCCCTTCGCGCGCCGCTGGGCGGGTTCCGCTGCAGTGACTTCAGGAGATTCTGAGAGAGCCAGCGTCCTCTTTTTAAGAAGAATGCTTCTAGAAAGGGCCTGGAAGTAAGTGCAGCTCGGTCCTTGTGAGGCAAGGGACACAGAGCCTGCGCGGAGCTGCAGGACAGCCCTGATCTGTTGTCAGGCTGAGGGTTCTCATTCCCGAAGGTGCCATTCCACGTTTCAGTTGTCTTCCAACCCCGTTGATGCGGAAAAATGTTTTTAACTCATGTATTTTATTTTGTAGGGAGAAGAAATTGAACGAATACCGACACCAAATGTTATGTCACTTTGCATTAGTTCAAGGCGGAAGTAAAAGTAAACTTTTGGGGTCACTCACCCGGGGTGACCACTGTCTTAACTGATGAGGTGATAGCAGACACCTTTTCTTAATTCAAGCCAAGGGAGTAAAAATAAAACATTGCGGTCCTTCACCTGAGATTACCCGAATTTCCTTCTTGGGTCACCCACTTTTTCTGATATTCGTGATGTCACCAGGGAAATCACCTGACCAAAAAAGACCCCGTAGAAGCTTATCTACCAGCAAAACTACAAAGAGCCAATCTCATTCGATTATTTCGTATTTTAACAATGCGCCACCTGCTAAACTTGCATGTTCAATTTGTCATAAAATGGTGCCTAGGTACGACCTAATTCGGCATCTCGATGAGTCCTGTGCAAACAATGGTGATGTCGTTCAGGTTGAGCCTGTGCAGGCTGGTTTAACAAATCCAACGGTGCCCAGGTCAAATTTACCCAGTATTGCTTTAGAAGACGTAACACCTCAGAAGTTGTCACCACCAAAGAGAAGTTTAACTCCCGTCAAAGGTGGTTCAAAACTAGGCACACAACAGCAGACCAGTCCCTACTTTAAAGATGCTTCGGTGTGCAGAATTCAAAACGAGCTGCAAAATCAGAATGTGGAAATTATGTCTCTGGGGAGTCTGTCGTCTAAATTGTCCAGAAAATACATAAAAGTTAAGAAATCCCCGGATAGGAAGGAGAGACTAGCCAGTCATTGTCCACAGAGTTCTCCGTCCACAGCTGGCACCAGCCTGGTTGATGTATGTTCAGAGACGGAGGACAAAGATGAGGTTTTGAACAGTTTTCAAAAGGAAAACATGTTTTCTTGTGCATCGCTAAAGGGAGAGAATGCTTCAGAACACAAGGTAGAGCGCAGTAAAATCACAGAAGATGAAAGCTGGGAAGCTTCCCGCGGGGAGTCAGCCCTCACCCCTGCATCTTCAGCTCCTGCTCCTGCATTGTGTTCATTAGATTTAACTCTTGCGAATAACATGAAGTCTGCTCCAGGAGACAGTCTTGTAAAGCAAGAGGATGCCAGAGAGGACGGTGCGGGGGTTGCTAAACAGCTCGAGGCGTGCGGCCGTGAAGAGGTAGAAATGACTGTCGATGCCGAGGTTCAAACGCCAGTGTCTGGTCACGAGGTGGAATCCAACAGTCGCGTGGACGCTTCTACAGAGAGTAACAGCCGAGAGAGACCAAAGATTTACAGCGCCCTGAAGCAGGGATCCAGTTGTGAGGTTCCCAGGGAGACAGCTCAGCCTCCCCTGAGCCACCCATACTACCTGAGGAGCTTCCTGGTGGTGCTGCAGGCCATCCTTGAGAACGAGGAGGACATGAAACTCTTCGATGAACAGGAGAAGGGCATTATAACCAAGTTTTACCAGTTGTCAGGTATCTTCAGCCTGTTTGCTTTCCGAGTTTTCCTCCTTACCTGACTTGTGTGTGACGTAAGAGTCCGTGGTGTAATGACCACCAGGAGTCACTGTGGGAGTATCGTGGGACTCTTACAAGGTCTGTGTCCGGGACAGGCCCATTAAAAACAAGTTCCTGTGCCTGGTGATGTCTGCTGGGCAAGCAGTGCTTTAATACGACGGCAGTAGCTTTCCTCTTACTATTTTTTCCTGTAATTTTTTTTATTTTTTATTTATTTATTTTTTGAGACAAGGTTTCTCTGTGTAGCCCTGGCTGTCCTGGAACTCGCTCTGTAGACCAGGCTGGCCTTGAACTCTCAAAGATCCGCCTGCCTCTGCCTCCCAAGTGCTGGGGTTAAAGGTGTGCCAGGCTCATGCTGTCTTATTTCTTATATGTCTGTTTTGATGAGGGTAAAGTGATGTCCAGTGTCCAGATTTAAAAACAAACAAACAAACAAAAAACCACAGCACTGGCACACAGAAATGTAACTATGCTTCTGTCCTGTGATCAGTGTTACCACTGAGGATGTTTTCTGTTTCACATCCTGTGTCTTCAAGGACAGTAAAATCCTCAGGAGGGGGTGGTGATGGTAAGATAAGTTGGGGTGTGGAAGAAACGGAAAAATGCAAGCTTAAGTTGGTGCATAAAAAGACGAGTTTGTTGCTTACATCCTCGGCAGCCAGTGGTGGCTCCGTGCAGGTAGTGCAGGTTGGATGCAAAAGCCATCCGTGTGTGGCTGTCACTGTTAGTCCCGAGCCATGATGTCTCTAGAGTTTAGTAAGAAGAGCTGCTTTGGTGGCCACGTTGTCTTCTAATGAACTGTGGCCATGCCAGGGCATTAAAATCAAAGAAAGCCGGGCGGTAATGGCGCACGCCTTTAATCCCAGCACTCGGGAGGCAGAGGCAGGCGAAACTCTGAGTTCAAGGCCAGCCTGGGCTACAGAGTGAGTTTCAGGACAGGCTCCAAAGCTACACAGACAAACCCTGTCTTGAAAAACCAAAATAAATAAGTAAATAAAATCAAAGAAAAGAAAAAACCTGAACATTACTACAAAGTCCACCCGGTAACACAATGGTGTTGCTTTTGAATATGCGACAGTAGTTCTGTGGGCACAGTTGTGTCCACAGCTTCTGTCTGTGTGTGGTTCTCACTGGAGGATGGAAGTGATGACGTAATAGCATTCCTTGACTCCTCATCCAGAGTGGTCAGAATTCTCTGGTTAGGTTCTGACTGTTGGAATGTGACTTCCTGAGTAGTTGGTAGCTCTGCTTCTTTAAAACGTAGAAGTAGGACCAGTTTGGGGGGTGGGGGGGGTAGAGTGGTGCACGCCTTTAATCCCAGTATTCAGGAAGCAGAGGCAGATGGATGGATCTCTGTTCCAGGACAGCCAGGGCTGTACAGAGAAACCCTATCTCAAGAAGCCAAACCAAACCAACAAAGAAACAGGAACAGTTTGTCCAAGGCAAGTTCAACAGGTTCTTGTGTGTTGCTCTTTATGGAGAATCATATACAACATGTCTTTTTTTGCTTTTTGATTTATTCATTAAATTTTTTTCTTTCTGAGGGAGGGTCTCATGTAGCTCAGGCTCTCTCTGTATCCGAAGATGACTTTGATCCTCCTGCCTCCACCTCTGGAGTGCTGGGCTCACAGGTGTTTGGCATTCTGCCTGGCTGTGTACAATGTATCTTAGGTGAAAACAGCTGCTGCTAATTGCGTCTGTTTCCTTAAATGAAAAAAATGTTTGAAATTTTAAGATGTAATTATATCCTTTTACAGCTGGCAGGAATTTAAAGATAATCAAGGTAATAAGGAAACACTAAATAGGTTAATTAAGTAGGTTTGCATAAATCAAAACTAGACATTTCGGGGAGGAAATTCAGATTTTTTTTAAAATCAAAAATAGAATAATGTATGTTGTCTTAGTTAAGGTTTCTATTGCTGTGATAAAATACCAGAAGCAAAAGGAACTTGTGGAAGAAAATTTGTTTTAGCTTACACTTCCACATCTCAAGTCTATCACTGAGGGAAGACAGGGCAGGAACCAAAATGGAATAGGAACTTGGAGGCAGGAACTGATGCAGAGGCCATCAAGGATTGCTGCTTACTGGCTTGTTCTTCATGACTTGCTCAGCCTGCTCTCTCTCTCTCTGTCTCTGTCTCTGTCTCCGTCTCCGTCTCCCTCTCCCTCTCCCTCTCC